CTACAGGTATGATAGAATTTAAGACAACTTATCCATGGAAGAATGGTTCAAATAACACAAGGATTTTTTTTTTCAAGTATGCTTTTTCACTTATTTATTAAGCAGTACTTTTTCTGAGATATATTAGAGAGAAGGTATTGTGCAACTCAAAAAGATTTTTTTGTTTTTACTGATCAACAGTGATATTTCCATTTAGAGTAATAATGTTACATTGTGTTATTCTGTCTAATGCACTTATGTTCAGAGTCGGCACTGACCAGGTACTGTTAGTAGAATGTATGCTGTGGCAACATACCATTTGTGATTGTAAGTTCAGGAAAAGCTTGTGTATTCTACCTGTAACATGAATTCAAAACATTATCTCTCCATAGAATTTTTGAACTAATTGCTTCTGTTGATAGTGATAGTCTATAGACTGATACAATTGTTTAGGTTGAAATAGACGTGGAAGTCATTTAGTTCAAGCTCTTTTGCTCTCAACTTCTGAGTCAGATAAAATTGCTCAGCCTCTTGTCTGGTCAGCTTTCAGGTATTTCCAGGGATAGAGATCCCACTGGCTCTGTGCAATCTGTTCCTGGGCTTAGCCAGTCTCATTGTGAACATTTTGTTTCTTCATTTCTTATTCTAGTTGTAATTCCTCTTACTGAGACATTTGATTTTGCCTCTTAACCCTTTCTTATGCACTCCAAATGAGGTGACAAACTAGAATATAGTTGGGAATATTATTAGTCCACATATCTTCCAAACAGCTGTTTAGTATCCTGCAACTAATTCATATTTAGTACAGGACTAGTATTAGCCTGCCTTCTAAAATATGCTCTTTTAGTTTCTCTTAGCATAAACTGCACATATTGACTTCCCTAGCATTATAAGATCCATTACGGGTAGATTATATATTAGGGTGGCAAAAGCACAATTCTGTGTTCGGTTCTTTTGACTACATCCTTCTGTTCTCATCTTTCTTCCAATTTAGTTGGCAGTATCTTTACTAGAAAAAACTCATTAAGCTGTATGCTGATAACTCATACCACTGATAAATTTATATTGGTCTCAGATTAGATGAACTGGAAATTTCTACTCAGTATTTCCATACCTTAAAATAGTTTGAATTATATGGTGGTTTGGTTTTTTTTGGGTTACTGGTTTGATTTTCTTTTTGTTTGTCTGCGTTTTTTTTTTTGTTGTTGTTGTTGTTTTTTTTTTGTTGTTGTTGTTGTTGTTTTCTCTGTTGAATGTGTCTTAGACAAATATAGATATCTGAAATAGATGACCATAAAATTTTAAAAGATTTAGGTATGATAATAATATTGCCCAGTTTTTAGAATATTGAATATTATGATACTGGGCTTCTATTAAAAAAAAACAACTGCTACTGATTAATTCTGTAGTATTGCTGAAATGATTTTTCATGTTTATGGAATCAAGAAATATGTTTATAATATTCTATGAAAATGGTTGCAGTAATATATATCTCAACTGTTAGTGAATATCAGTAAATGTTTAATGATTATAATGTAATTATAGCTTTTAACAAGGTTCTATTATAAAACTATTTTAGTACTCTAATTTGTTGTTTGTATGTATTGTGTTTGTATTATATATTGTATGTCTTATATTTGTAAATTATAAATACATATATCTAGAAAGATGAAGGAGAAGGTGTATTGATAAATTATTGGGTAATTTGTCATTTGTACAGAGTATGACAGGGGAATGGTGCCCAGCTGAAGCAGACAGTGAAAACAAACCTCCTCTTAATAATGACATATTGGGTCATGTGCTTCGTAGACTGATGGAGATTTTCTATCCTCCACAACCCAAATCTCTGCCACCTGTATTTCCTCCATTTCCTGTCAAGGGATGTATATTAGGAAAACTTTTTAGTGGAAAAACAACCTGTGTAAAGTTTATTGAAAAAGGTACTTTTTTTCCTCTAGAATTCTTGAAAATGTTTATTTGCATTAAAATCCTACTCTTACGATGAAAATCATTTGGGAAAATCAGTGCAACACTAATTCTTGAACCTCAGACACATCTGTATTTAGCAGAGTTTGGTTGCAAGTCATTAAATCATGATCTTCTGAAAGAAGATTTAAAATACCAGAACTTCAATATAGTGTTAATGTAGTGTTACTTCTGCATTGAGAATTTGAAAATGCTTTTGGCAAACTTCTCTTTGTTATAAAAGTGACTAGCAAGATAGCTATGTAATTGTGTACACACACTGTGCAGTGGTTACAGAGAAGAGACTGTCAAAACAACTTACATGAAAAGCCTAAATGAAATCATTAATTTAATTGCAGTTAATAGCCCCTCTGTATGTATGCTCAACTCAAAACTCTAAAGTTATCCCATTTTTTTTGTGTATTAGTTTGCAATATTCAGGTACTATCTGTTGATACTCTGGTTCAGGAGGCCATCCAAGCTTTTCTTGAAAATGAAAGGAAAAGTGAACACAATGTGATACCACAAGAAGCAGAGAGTTCTGGTGAACAAAACAAGGTAAGCATTTTTGTTGATTTTGGTTTTGGCTCCTACAGGGAGATGAGAATGAAATATGAGGAAGAAAGCACATTGTTTCAATTTTTTGTTCAATTTCAAGCTTAAGTCTACATTTTGACTTACACGACTTCAAGAATCAGCTTGATTTGACATAGCTGTTTTTCCTGTAATATGTAGTTTCATTTCTAATCCACTTACTTTCATAATTGATACAAGGTCCAGAAGAACTTATCAAAGTCATCACTGAAAGATCTAAAGGCACTCCAAACAGAAACACCTATCAAGGGAACCATAGGTGTGTATATAAATATTTATAAAATTTGGGCTTAATTCTTATTACATTTAAATGGCAATTCTTCTTTTGTGCATTTGAGGTAGTATCCATGACATATGAGTTTTCACAGTAGTTTCCTTCATGAATTTCCTGTTTCTGTACATTCCTAGTGCCTGGGAGCAGCAAGTGCAAGGCTGCTCTGTGAAGGAAGGTGATCTAGGTGACAAGGGAAATAGCAGAAGTGCCAGCATTCACCAACAAAGAGTGAGGGTATTGACAGAAGTCAGGGTCACTATCGGGTTCTGAAACATTGATTGGTGTGAGCCTCAGCCTGCTGATAACCCAGCAATTCTGCCAATGAAGCAAGTCTGAGGTCGAGTCAGAAACTCATGTCACCAGCTGTGGATCAGGGTCAGAATCAAGACAGGTTATGGGATGCAGACTTGGCTGCCATGCAGCTGTAATGTAACACAGACATGGTCCAGGATAAGAGCTTCATCTGAAAAACAGCTTCCAAAAGAAGGGCAAGTTTTCACCTTCCCTCACTTTACCTTTTTACAACAGAGTTTACAAAAAAAAAAAAAAAAAAAACCAACCAAAAAACAGAAAAACCAAACCCTGACAGTGGGCTCAGCCACCTAAATTCAGAATCACAGAGTAATTGATGGTGTAAGGGACTTGTGGAGATCATCTAGTCTAATCCTCCTCCTCAAAGCAAGGTCACTCCTACAGGTTGTTCAGGACTATGTTCAGCTGGATAGTGAACATCTCCAAGGATGGAGACTCTGCAACCTCATTGAGTAACATGTTCCAGTATTCCGTAACCCTTACAGTTTACATTTAAATGGAATTTTCTGTGTTTCAGTTTATGTCTTGCCTTTTCTTATTTTAGTTGGCACCACTAAGAGTCTGTCTCTTGTTCTCTTTACTCCCTTCCCCACCCTAGATATTTCTACACATTAATAAGATTCCCCTCAGGCATTCTCTTCTCTAGGCTGGATAGTCCCAGCTCCAAGCATCTCCATCAGATGTTAGTAACTGTCAAGGCCTGGTCCAATATATCCATCCCTTCCTTGCACTAGGGAGTCCCAAACTGGACATGGCACTTCAGATACGGTCATACTAGAGCCATATCTTCTAAATGTGGTCCAGGGTGCTGCTGGCCTTCTTTGCTGCAAGGACATGTTACTGGTTCATGGTCAGCTTTTTCTTCTCCAGGGCCTGCAGACACTTCTCTGCAAAGCTGCTTTCAAGACAGGTGCTGAAGGCATGGGGTTTTCCTCACCAGAAGCATTTAGTGGTAGAACTAGCTATTCCATGGACACCCAGCCCCTTGAGCTGGAGGACAGGGAGGTGGGGCAGGGTGTGACCTTCATAATGCAAGAGGGAATGGTCAGTGACCTGGTACACCACTTAAACATCCACACATCTATGGGGCCAGATGAATTCCACCTGGGAGTACTGAAGCAGTTGACAGATGTACTTGCGAAGCCTTTTGCCATCATTTACCAGCCATTCAGGCTAACTGGGGAGGTCCTAGTGGACTGGAGGGTAGCAAACGTGATACCCATCTACAAGAAAGGCCAAACGGAAGATCCAGGGAACTACAGACCTGTCAGTCTGACTGCAGTACCACGGAAGGTCATGGAGCAGAATGTCTCAAATGTCATTATGCACCACATTCAGGTGGTCAGTCCCAGTCAGGATGGGCTCATGAAAGGCAGATCCTGCCTGATGAACCTGATCGCCTCCTATGACAAGATGGCCTGCCTGGTGGATGAGGCTGCGAATGTTGTCTACCTAAACATCTGTAAGGCCTTTGACACTGTTTCCCACAGCATCCTCATGAAAAAAAAATGTCTGCTTAAGGCTTAGATGGGTGTAGGCTCTGCTGGGTAAAACACTGGCTGGATGGCAGGGCAGTGAGTGGAACTGAATCCAGCTGGCAGCCAGTCACAAGTGGTGTTCCTCAGGGCTCAGGATTGGGATACAGAGCGCACCATCGGTAAGTTTGCAGGCGACACCAAGTTGGGTCAGAGTGTTGATCTGCTTGAGGGTAGGGAGGTTGTACAGAGAGACTTGGACAGACTAGATCAATGGGCCATGGTCAGTTGTTTGAGCTTCAACAAGACCAAGTGTTGGGTCCTGCACTTGGGCCACAACAACCCCAGGCGATTCAACAGGCTTGAGGAACGGTGGCTGAAAAGCTGCTCTGTGGAAAGGGACCTGGAGGTACTGATCAACAGGCATCTGAACATGAGCCAGCAGTGTGCCCAGGTGGCCAAGAAGGTCAATGGCATCCTGGCTTGTATTAGAAATAGTGTGGCAAGCAGGGCCATGGAGATGATTGACCTTTTTTCTTGGCATTGGTGAGGCCACACCGCGAGTACTGTGTTCAGTTTTGGGCACATCAATACAAGAAAGATATCAAGGTGCTGGAGCATGTCCAAAGAAGGGCAACAAAGCTGGTGAAGAGCACAGAAAACAAATGTTATGAGGAGCAGCTGAGGGAACTGGGGCTATTTAGTCTCAAGAAAAGGAGGCTGAGGGGGAACCTTATTGCTCTCTACAACTACCTGGAAGAGCATTGTAGAGATAGTCTCCATCCTTGGAGATTTACAAGATCAACTAGGTAAACAACTGAGCAACCTAATCTGACCTTTTAACTAATGCCATTTTGAGTAGAAGGTTGAACATGAACAAGGTGACCCCCAGAAGTTGCTTCCAACCTGAATTAATACATAGTTCTATAATTCTAACAATTGTATACACCTTCTGTATTGATTTGTTTAAAAAAAAAGTGAGTTGTATACTCTTATTGTTTATCTCTGGTAATAAATATCGTAGTAATAGAGTTGCTAAACTTTATAATGTGCCTATTTTAGGCAATTGTGCTGTCAAAAAGGATCCATCTGGACAAGAATTTAAATCAGAAAACAGTCAGGATGGCCTATCCAAGGTCTGTAATCCAGTTTTAGCTTCTAATTTATAAAAAATGCATTCTTAAAATGGTTGTTATTTAAATGGTGATACTGTTTCAGCATTCTGAATTAACTTATTGACCTTGCTGCAAGCATTTTCTATAGGAAATACGAAAAAGGTTTATTACAAAAACTATTCCTGTGTATGTTGTTTAGAGTTGTACAGATTTTTAAAGATCTATATCTTCTTGCTAATCTTGTTACATTTGTGTAAGATATGGTACTTTCTATGTCATTTCTGAGTTAGCAAAAAATTGTTCCAAATCTTGCTGCTGTCAAGCAGATGATTTGTCCCACGACAAGGTTTCCTTTCTTTGTGTTTAAAAATACTTAACTCTACAGTGATCTCTTTGACATTATTGCTCACTGGAAAATATTGAAAACTAAGGTAGAAAAGAATCTCTGTAGAATTAATGAAGTTAAATGCTGCTGAAGGAAACCATCAGTGAATTTATGGTAGTCAAAATCAAAATAAGCTTGGAACATATCCTCTGTTTCTTAACCTTGTTTCTGTCTGGCATTTATGGGTGTAATGATGGAAATCGGTTGGAGACTGCAGTTAAGTTAGGCCTTTTTCACATTGGTTGAAACTGTTTCTCTTTAATAGATAACAATAAAAAATAAATATAAATAAACAACATGATAAATATTAAATAAGTAAATAATACAGAATGTGTAATGTAGCATCATACATTTTTGAGCAGTGAATGTTGTGAACATTCTGCCCATGCTAGTCTTACACTGCACTCTTCTACAGCTGTCTGCACGTGCCCAGCTTGGCGCCGCATCACAGAAATTCTTGAAGAATGGAAAAAGTATTCCTGATGAATTACTAATAGACATCCTATTGGAAGCCATTAAGTATGAAATTGTATAGCTCTTTTACCTCAGTTGTTTAGAATGTAATTATCCAGCTTGTAATCCAGATTCAGATATTTCTCTTTATTACTGTAGTTCTTGAACACTGGATTCTTCTGTGTGGAAAGTGGAGAAGATTATTGAAATTAGTTAATGTTCATTTTATGCTTGCAGTAAAGTCTAGCTCTGAATTATGCAGACATTATTGTACACTACTGAAGGCGAATAAAAATACAACTATCACATAGTCATTAAATATAACTAATGTCTCTGTTAGTTGGAAGCTGTTGAGCAGGTGTTAGTATTTGGGTTTTCTTTAAGATTTTGCAAAATGCCTAATCCAAGCATTCATACTTCAGCAGTTAGGTTACTTATTTTTCCCTACTCTTGTTCGATAGAAAATTGTCTCAACTATCCTGATGTGCAATTAGCCCTAAGTCCCCACATGAGTATCATTTAAGTTGTATTACTCCCGTTAGTATATTTTAAAGTTATGAAACAGATTTTCCTGTTTGTTACTTCAGTGTAAAAGTTAGTAGAGAAAATAGTGAAATTACACTTCTGATCATAGTCTGTATAGAAAATATTTTAAAAAAATTTCTTTATCAAGACAGGATTTTTTTTTTCACTTTTTGTTAGGCTTGATGTTATTTTTCTGATTTAACATCCACTGCTTTCAATTTAATTTTTAATTATGTATGTCATAGTCTTTATTCATCAGGATATTTAATATCCTGAATTCAGAATGAAAGACTGCTAGGTCAAGCTCTTCTTTGTGTGTTATTATTATGCTATCAGTTCACTGTATACTTTTGTTTCTTCATTTACTTTTAGCCAAACACCACCTGAGAAGGGGTGGATTGTGGATGGGTTTCCAATGACAATTAATCAGGCAAAGATGTTTGAAAAAGCCTATACAGGGATTGATCCAGAAGCAAAAGACGTAAATTCTGGAAAGCTTTCACTTGTTACAGATCCCAGAGCTACTAAGAAGCCTCCTATCACCTTGCCAGCATTTGATGTTTCTGTATTATTGGATATTTCAGACACTGCGGTACTGCAACGTGTGGCTAACTTGAAATGTAAGTTTCCAATTACTTTTAACAAAGTAAAAAGACAAGCAGATTCTGGTGTATGGGGAATGTAAAGATTGTTATAATACTGAAATGACTGAATTGTCAACGCATTACAACATAATACAAAGTTGCATATTTTAGTTAAAAATACTATGTCATGTAATACCTATATTTCCTCTGACAACTATGAAATTAGAAATAGTTTAGATTTGTTGACAGATTTCTTCTGCATTTGTAAGACCCCTTCTAACTTTAGCTGTCTAAAAGTAGATGACTAGGTATAAGCAACACATTAATCCCAAGCATCATTTACCAGATATACCTGTAAGATGTACTTACAGGAGCAAAATAGCATTACAGCACAATTTCTCTACATCTCACAGTGTCACTTTTGGTAGTTATGCATTATCACCTTGAGTGCTTCCAGATTATTTCAGGTAGTTTTGTTTGTTTCAGTCAAAGGCAGATCAGAAGTGTGCCAGTGCACATGTATATGCTTGTTTGTATTTGTAGTGAATTCTCACTGGAGCTGAGAATAGCACAATGTCTGGTGTTAGTCACCTCATAAAGCAGCAGCTAGAAAAAACACAAGTTACAACAGATGCAGAAATATGCCATAATACAAGTGAGTATATGTAAATAGTATTTTTCTCCAGGAGACACAGTTGGGAGGTGATGAGGGAAATAATAAACAAAGGATTGTGCTAACATTCATAGAATCATAGAATCAT